ACACAATAAAATACATTGAAATACAATAGAACATAATAAATTACCATTAAATACAAAAATACAAAAAATACACTGAGTTACAAACATAATAATATAATCTTGTAGCCATGCATTTGGCTTCTTGTTCCCAAGTGGAGCACTTGGCATTTCTCCCTACTGAATTTCTTTCTGTCACTCTCTGCCCAGTGTTCTAAGCTACTGAGATCATCGTGTCTCTTTTCTTTGTCTTTCAAGGAATTTGCTATTCCACCCAGCTTTGTGTCATCTGTAAATTTAATTATCTTTCTTTGTACTTCCTCATTTGCCTGCAAGCAGAAGGTCAGGAAAGAGGAAGCCAACTTATTCCTTCTTAGCAAGAATTTACACTACCTGGCAGCAGCCATTCAGTCATGGAGCTCCTTAAGTGACTTTGGGCCAGCTGCTGACTCCCAGCCTTTCCTACCACGCAGGGTTGTTGTAGTGAGAATGACACAAGCAAGAGGAGGGCCTTGTAAACCACCTTGGTTTCTTCATGAGAGGGGAAAAAGGCAGGATATAAATGCCATGCCGTAAGTTCAATCTAAAAATGATGTTGCCACCAAACACACTGGAGTGCTAATGGACTTCAGACCTGGCTATCAAAGAGACCAGCAGCCTCACTGTGAAGTATCTGAGAGGAGAGGACCTTTTGAAGGCATCATTATCATCCATTCACAGTCCATCTGACAGTCATCCCTGAAAGGACTTTCTCAAGTGTTCCCCCAAACTCTGCAATACATGCACTCGAGACATACTGTCGGCATGTGCACAATGCATTTTTTTAAATTATCCCATTTCAAGAATGTATTATTGCAATGCTTTTGTTACACTTACAGAAGGCTCTTCCTTTCATTGCTGCACAGTTCTTGTATAATGCCTTGATGCCTTCTTGGCAGGGAAAATGCTATCAAAATATCAATATTAAAAGCCCTCCTGCAAGCTGCTCTAGTTAGAACAAGACCTGAATGGTTTCAGAGAGGCAGGCTGGAAATGGCCAGAAAACCCGTCTTCTTAATGCTGCTGTTTCTCCTGTCCTCCTAGCTTCACCCATTCCTGAGAAACGCCCAGTTCTACAACACTGCCATGGAAGGAGTGCATTTGGATGAGAATGGAGACCTGGCGGCCGATTTTGACATTGTGAATTGGGTGGCGTTTCCCAAAAGGCTAGAGTGAAGTTTGAGAGTTTAGAAAGACAGGGCTCCTCAGAAGTCAAGGTGACGATTGACCCAGGTGCCACTGTGTGGCCCAAATGGCTTAACAATGTGGGGAACAATATTTGTTTCATCTCTTTGCATTTACTATCTCTGACTTTCAAATAACTTCACTGTGTTCTACATGAGGCCGGCTTCAAAGGGGGCTTGGAAAGTTCAGCAGCTTCAGAATGCTGCAGCCCTGCTGGTGGGCTCAGGGTTTCCTAGCAAGCCCCTCGGAAGTAGCCTTGTTGGGAGTTCATTGTCGCTTCCGAACGGCGGTTGCTCCTGGCATGCAGGAGGGGTGCAGCTCCCACACCACGTGGGGCTCTATTCCTGGTGAATGCCCCATAAATGCTGAAGGCGCTTGCCAAACACTTGGATTCGGGGCTGCTGAGAAGTGGACCAGAGTCTGGGGACCTGAGGCCAGGAAATGCACTGGGATCGCACTGCCGGATGGATAGCTCATGGATCCCCAGTTGGAATAGATCCATACAAGTCTCATGCAAGAAAATTTGTGTTGTTTTTGCTCTTTTGTTTGGGTTTGCATTTGAATTGCAAAATAAAAAAGGAGAGAGAGAAGCAACGATCCCAGTTGGATCTTTTGCAGTTCTGGCTGCAGTCAGTAGAGCAAATAGCCTGAACACATTTTCCTTTCTATTTCCTGTACCTGTGTTTAGACCCTGCCTAATTCCAGGTGTGTGGACAGCTGTAATCCTGGGTTCTTCAAGGTGGTTCAAAGAGGAAAGCCCATTTGTTGCTATGACTGTGCTCCCTGCCCGGAAAGGACCATCTCCTCTCAAGAAGGTTCACAACTCAGAAGGACAGGGCCTCCTTTCAGGAATGGTGCAAAGATTCACCAAAGCATTTGCAGGAGGAAAAACTACACAAGCAAATGTGGATCCTTTCAGTCTTGCTTTTTTCTACTGACCATGATGTGTTTTATGAAGTGTGGAGTTTCATCAAGTTTAGTATTGGGTGAACTGATTCTAGATTTAGAGTACCTGGGCAAGGCAGAGGAGAGGAAGTATTGAGTCAAGAGCAGGTCAACCTTAAAGCCCTCTTGGAAACATTAGAACATGTTGAAACATTAAAATACAGGCTATAGAGGTGTATATGTATGGAGCACTTATTTGTCTTGCTTCCAGGAAATCAGAGAACACGATTCCAACCAAAATATGTAGTAAAAGGAGTGGGGATAGCACTGATGTACATAAAATAGCTTTCATCAGCCAGGTTCACATGTAATCAGAAGCCATGGTTATTGTTGTGTCCCACGGTTTTGCAGATGAGACCAGAGACCAGTTGGTATTTTTAAGAGGAGTTTATTACCTGCGCAGGGACCACACTCTAGTAAGGGTGCGGTCCCTAGCAAAAGAACAACGGGGTTTTTATACCTTTACAATCGATTACAGTCAAATGAGCGAACAATAGAAAATTACAAAGTCACGTAGGCAGCGGTCTATCAGGTTTAGCAAGCCAGATACAGAAGCAGAACGGTTTTACGGTTAGTCTATCTTTTTAAGTTTTACGCCTTTAACAAGCTTTGCCCATTTTCTGAGAGAACGCCCTGTGATGCCTGGGACAGCTAATAGGCATCCTGTTATGCTAATCCTGTTATGCTAATCCTGTTATGCTAACCTAGTGCCAGGAGGGTCGAGCCTAACATTCCCTACTGGTCTTAATGGGAATCAATTCGTCGATTCAGACACGGGGAGGGCCATAAGGAGAGTGGAGGATATACACGGCGTTAACCCGGTGCAACAGGCAAAGAGAGTTCCGTTGGGAGCCGCCAGTAAATAAGGGCTTGTGCCGGGGGCCAGGGTAATGGTAAAGGAGCAACGAGGGTCGTCCGAGGGTCCTTGGGGACCCGTAACACAGGTTCCCTGCCCCGAAAATCCCTCCAAGGTTATGGCGGGGTAGAGACCCCACTGGCAGTGAGCCTGATAGTTCTCTGAATAAGGGAGGTTGCGGAGATCCGAAAAGGAAGTGCTTATCCCTACCCCGGTGAAAAAGGGAGGTTGGGGGCTCAAGCACAGCCAGCAGGTCTCGGTTATATTGGGGTTAGTTTCGTTGAGAACCTGGAAGACTGCAGACACTAACTTGAACGGGTGGGTAGAATCGGCAGGGCTCCAGGGAGGAGGTCTTTTAGGCTGAGGCCGAGTGGCAGCAGAGCCACGAGAAGGCGCGGTGGCCTGCTCGGGGGCGGCA